CGGCCGCGGTGGCCGGCTCGGCCTGCCCTTTGTGCCCGCAGCCCGCGCCCCGCGCCGATGGCCGCCGCGGCGGGCTCCCCGGCGGCGCGCACCCGCCCTCGGACCTGACCCCGCGCGCCTGGGATGCGCCGGGAATGCGCGTCCTCCGGGCCTGCGGCTCCTCCCGGCTGGGCGCGGGGCGATGGACCTGAGCATGAAGAAGTTCACCGTGCGCAGGTTCTTCTCCGTGTACCTGCGCAAGAAGTCGCGCTCCAAGAGCTCCAGTCTAAGTCGACTCGAGGTAAATGCCATCGCCTCTGTGCGTGCAGGTACCCAGGTCCCCGCCGCGCCCTGGAGGATGCTGAGGGTCGCGGAGCCATCCCGAGCCCTTTCTATTGTCACATGCACGGTACCCACAGACCCATGTCAGGGAGTTAAAGTTATTTGAGAGCCGGTCCGGTTTTTCTAAAACCGAACGCTATTGTTAGGACCTAGCAATAACTGGACCGGCCCTCGTGTTCTCGTTGGGGACTAAACTCTGCCCCAATGGAATTTCTAACTCATTTTGTTCCTGGGTCTGCGCTGGATGCGGAGCGGTCACCGTGCCCACATAGGTGCTCGGGGTAGGGAGGGCGTTTCGGTCCGTGCAGCTGGACCGCGGTTCCGCGTGGCACCTCCAAAGTCCCAAAAACAGAACCTCCGCGGCGCTCCCCTCGGCTGAGGGTCTGGGGGTGGGGAGGTGGGTTTACCTTTCTGTGGCCCGCAGCCACACAAGTGCTACCGTATCGTGCAGATGTATGTGTATTTGAAATCAGTGTAGCATTGGCCATATATATACATACATATATGTTAAAAGGTAACAATACAATTTACTCGGGCCAGTCTGAAACGGTGCTCAGTAGCGAAGTGCCTGGCGCAATATCCCTGCAGCCCCGGGTTTGATAGAGATTCGCCCTGAAACCCAGAGGACCCTGAAAATTATGTCCTTTCCTCCTGTCCCTCATCTTGTCATCTTTGGGTTTCCAAAATCATCTGTGGACAGCTCTCTGATGTGGTTTTTTATTTCAGCAATCAGATCTTCTCTTCATCCCGGTGTCCAAATTACATTGTTGAATCTATAGATGACCAAACGGTGGAACGTGTTTAAGTAAAAAAAAAAAAAAAAAAAGAGAGAGAGAGAGAGAGAGATTGTGATGTTGGGGGCAGGGGCTGGCTACACAGCCTAGTGTTTCCCTTTGACATTGCCCTGGCCTTTGCCAAAAGGCTGGCACCTATCTTGGCTTTGACTTATTTCTAAGGAAGTCAAATCAATGGGAACAATGTCACATTTTTCATCTTGGTTTTCTTTGTCCTGGCTGCCATGATATTTGATACAGGCATGGGTTGTTACAAATACCAGATCTTTAAGCAAAGCTCAGGAATAGACATGAATGCAACAGGGAATTACTCTATAAAAAGTTTCTGTTATGGTATCACTAAGTCAGATTTGGACTAGATAGGATCTTTGTGGCTGGTTTCTGAGGGCAGAACATATTTTTCAAACAAATACAACTGTTAATCAAATAATGGAGGAGGGCTTGCCTCAAACCTCACAGTAACAGAAATTAAACACGAGTTAGTGAGATAAATCATTTTCCTGGATCTCAGGCACTTTTTAAAAAGCTAAAATTGATAAGAACAGAAAGTCAGGACAGTATTTACCTTTATGCTCAATAAGTTTTTATTCATCAAAATGCCAAGTTTATTATACAGCTCCTTGTCTCCTTTTCATTTATTGTCCTTGCCAAGGGGAGGCACACAGGTGGGCAGACTCCCAGTGCTGTTCAGGAAGACCAGCAACAGATACCGGGCTGAACTGGTGGAGGGTCAGGAATCCCATCAGCACGATATACTCACCTCCAGTGTTACGGTGCAGCAGGGAAGTGCCTCATAAAAATAGCATAATGGGAAACCAAGAAGGGGATAGAAATGAGGTTTCTTCAATGTGAAAATAAAATTTCTAAAAATCATAAATACACCATCAGATAGGCGGAAGGTCAGCTGACTAGAGAGGAATGTGATCTATTAGCACGCATTCAATGAGCACTTCATATAACCTGGATGCTGGGTGCCGGATAGAAGTATTGAGAAAGATAGCTCGGATACAATGCTCTGTTTTCTACAAATGCATTCACCTGTCTCTTGTGAAAACTCAAGTAGGCATGTTTTACTATCCTCATTCTATTGGTAGGGGGACTCCCCGTCCAAAAATTGAGGATTTTGCTGAAAACTTACCAACTAATTCATTTTGCAATTGCTTTTTAAAAGCTGCTATGTGCTCAGCTTTGTAGATCCAAAACCACAAGTCCTAGAAGTCCTGGCCTCATGGTGCCTCCACCTAGTGGGGGATCTAATAAGTGGCTGACCCTGTGCTTCTGTCCAGCAAGTTCCATATTCCTGCTCAGCTGTCTCTCCATCTTTTTCCAGAGAAGCCTGTTTATCCACTTGCATATCCACAGCAGACTGTAGGCCAAGAAGCACTCATCAAAAAAATGTAAAATTTTGGGGGGGGGGGTCTGTCAATAGTTTGGGGTTGGGTAATAGGACATACAAAGTGCTTAGCACAGATGTATATTTCCTGTTTGGACTGATTAAATTGTAAAAATAAACACTTTTTTCATTGTTTCTGTGAAATTTATTTTGTAAAATATACACGGACACTGAAAATTTTTGTTTTTTGAATTCAGAATCTAGTGCCATAAACAGGAAAGTGACAGTAGTTACTTTAAGTTGAAAACACTATTTAATCTTTATTAAAACATTAAAATTCATGTTTTCATACTTGCTTTTAAATTTGACTTTAATCTAGAATCCAGCATTGGGTAAACCCTAACCAACAGAGAGGCCAGATTACTTAATCAGATTTGGAAATGGTTTATGGATTATAGCTTAAATATTTTTTTTTTTAATAATTTTTTTATTGTTAACCACCATACATTACATCATTAGTTTTTGATGCAGTGTTCCATGATTCATTGTTTGTGCATAACACCCAGTGCTCCACACAGAATGTGCCCTCTTTAATACCCATCACCAGGCTAACCCATCCCCCGACCCCCCTCCCCTCTAGAACCCTCAGTTTGTTTTTCAGAGTCCATCGTCTCTAATGGTTCGTCTCCCCCTCCGACTTACTCCCCTTCATTCTTCCCCTCCTTATAGCTTAAATATTTTTATAGTGTCTCAGGGTTGCCCCAACTGAGAGGGCCACATCATGGACTCTGGCAAGAGTGATTTTTGGAGTTTCTAAAGGGAAATTGGGTATCTTTCCTAGGCTTCTTTGTGCATGCCCTAGAAAGATACCAGGTTTCACTGTCTGACCTTCACCCGGATTTCAGGGCATTGACCTCACTGCCTGAGAGCCTCAGCACCTACCTGGAAGGTGTAACCAGCTCCTGATTCAGCAGCCCATTTTATAGACGAGGAAATGGAGCCCAGGGAAGCCAAAGGACTTGCTTATGCTCTTGCGCCTAGATTGTTTTAAAGGAAGTTCTTGCTGTAAGAGCTTGTGCCATCTATTATTAATTTTAGCCCTTCTGGGTTGTGGGGTTACTGGAGTTTACCGTGTATTAGATGGGACTTGAAGGAAGGCTCTTGTAATTATTAAAAGGAAATTACTCTGAGAAGTATTTTGGAAGGTGCTCTACAACCTGAAATTATTCTAGAGAACCTTTTTTGGCAGTTGGAAAGTTCCAGGTGCATCTGGGCTTTGTATCACATCCACCGGAATTGGATTCTCATGTGTACCTTTCACAGCAGGTGGTTGCTCCTTTACCTCTGTGAGCCCCATTTCCCTCTGCTGGGAGATGGGCTAGTACTTCCTGCCCCGTAGGGTTAAGGTGATCAGTGTGAGCTATCGTACGTAAAGACTTAACGTGGAGTCTGGATGGTGGCACTGTTAGTCAATTGTTAGCTATGGATCCTGATGAATATTTTCTGGGCTTAGTGATGGTTTTCATAGTGTTGGGTGTCTCCTGGCACGGTGTGAACCTGGGATTGCCCCTGTGGCCTGTAGAACCCATGGCTTGTGCTATCTCAAGAAACACTCAGCCTGGTAATTAATAGTTTAGATGAACTTCCTCTGTAGTTAGGGGAAGAAAAGGCCAGAGATCACTTCTCCCAGGCTTCCTTCCATACATAATACCATCATTCACTAGGATCGGCCCCATTTGCTAAGATGGAGTTCCCATCGTCTGGCTGGATGGTGGTATTCCTCTTCCTTTCCTTACGTATCACCCTGTGAGTCAGCTGCACCAATCCGTGAATGCATTACCAATTCAGGTCCCAAAGCCATGGCGTTGTGAGCTAAGGTGGCTTCTAGAGTCAGGAAATGCCCCAGCGTCAGCAGCCCAAGTTTGGGAGCTTCGGGAAGACATCCTCCTGGCTCAGCCTTCACTTCCCCAGGAGAGACTCCAGAGGTCTGACGTTCAAGTTCCAAAGCCTGGCTTGGGGCTGTGGGAGGTTGAGAGGGGTTGTCTAGGAAGTGCCTGGTGGGGCGGGGGTAGGGGGGAATATAGTTTTTAAATTAATAAAAAGTGACATTATTTACTCAGTATGATTTCTCTACCAGTTTGTTAAAGGGATCAATGCTCAAAGACAGTTCATTTCAGGAACGGTTATTTTGTTTGGAGTCACCAAAATCAGGGAGTTGGTTCTCTTTGATTACCTATCATTTTTGACATTTTTACTGAAAGACAGTTGAGGGTGGGTGAGAAGGACAAAATGCAAGTCCTTTAGCTGGGATACGGTAAGTGGTAAGCTGTTGGGTGGAAGAATTTCATTTATTTACGGACTTGCTCAGTTGTTTACACCAAGAATTTTTAGCGTATGCCATGTACATCATGCTAAGCAGCTGGTACATAGGATGTGATCTTTGTATGATCTCTGCCCTCAATGAGCTTAACATTGAGTGGGAGAGGCAGACCCAGGAATGGAACCTACTGTGTGAAATTTTTGGCATCCCTAACTTAAAGAGTCTAATTATATTGACTGTCAAATTAATTTCTATTTCCCATGGTTGCAGGTGCAAGTCACCAAGTGTTGTCTATGTGCACATTTGAATATATTTTAATTACTTACCCCTTTTAAAGGGAAGCACGATGTCCTAATAAAGTAAATGCTAAGGGACTCTTAGCAAATCCTGGGAGTGATGTTGGCTCTGGTCATGGAGAAAAAGAAAGCTTCCTGGAAAGTTAAACATTAAAGCTTATTCTTGGTGCTTGATAGGTAAGCTCTTCTTCTAGATCTTGGGTGGTTTCCCGGAAA